CAAACAGACCCACAAACAGTTTATAACTTAAAGACCAAAAGCAATACTCCATGACAAAAGGCCCCCCGGTCTCCATTTTAGAAACAAGAAGTAATTTGGGGGTAACATTATAACCGTTCCAGAAAGAGGGTATTGAACAGTTAGAGATGTATCTGAGGTTACAAACATTGCTGCTAAAAAAAAAAATTAAATTAAAATTAAAAACCCAAAAAACCAAAACCCAGCCAACAAATAAACATACATGCAAAAAACAAACAACAACAACAAAAAAAACCCAAACCCAAACCAAACAAAACATTTCTCCTGCTCAGTTCCCAGCATCAAATCAGAAGGCTCACAACCACCTGTAACTAACTCCATGTCCTCAAAGTAGACAGACCACCATAGGCAAATGAAAGGCAGAAGCTTGGACTTGGTACTTTCTTCTGCTGGCATTAAGGATAGTTCTGAAGTAGAGAAGAACTGGGTTTGTTTTTTTTTTTAATGGCCTGTTCTGAAGAAAAGTTTAAGTGTTCTAGACAAATAACAACCACCTGGGTCCATCAAAACCTCTCTGGAGACTCCTATTATAACTTAATGTCCTCCCTTCATCTCTGCATCCATTTTTATCCGAGCACGTCTGACACGAGCCGTTGAAGGACACTCCCAGACTGAGAACATACAGACAGCTAGGATTATCACTACATACAAACTTGGCAGCCATCTGTAATATCTGATTTTCTAGGCACTATCCCCGGTGGCTTTCTTTCTCTTGATTATCAGCCATTAGGTCTGGACTTCTTTTTCTTTTCCCAGATGAACTATAGACATTTTTCCAGACTGATTTTTTACTTCCTGCCCATTTCCAGTCTCCCTAGGACCCTTAAAGTTAATCTCTCATTCTTTCCTGATGGGACCTCCATTCACTCATCTGTAAATTTCATCAGTGTCTTCTCTACTCTCTCTTACAAATTATAAAGACTGATGGCAAATAGACTCAATTTAATGTCAATTCCTTCCCATTAAACTAGCCAAGCAGCTAACAAACCACATTTGATTGCATATCCAGAACTGTGCTGTTTTGTCTAAATTGAGGAGAAGAGAAAGGCAGAAAGAATTTGATTTATTTGATTACAAGCTGTTTAACTCTTGAAATGTCGAACAGCACAACGTTTTCTCAATTATGCCTTTAGTGGAGGGGATGCTGACCAGCACAGTGGTTTCTCAATTACATTTGCAGTGCAGGGGACTGGCTCCCTGCAGGGCTGCATGCAACAGGCCTCTTTCTACAGGCTACTAAAATCCTCAGAAGGTTTTACTTTTCAGTTAAGAGAACACAGGAGGCCACACAGTCATTTACATGCCCTGAGATGTAACAATTCCCCCTAGACTGCCCTGGGATGTAACAATTCCCCCTAGAAAGCTCTGGGATGTAACAATC